GATAGCATGAGTACTACAGCTCATTATTGTCGAAGAAATAATCCAATAGTTGAGTTCATCAGTCGATTGAAGCTAGACCACCATGAAAAATATGGAAGCAGTGGACAACCATTTTATCCTAGTATGGGACTCCTCAACAATGCTCATCTACGATCCTACCTCGAGAGATTCGAAGCCAAGACCTATCGGTCTCGCGCCTGATCTCTGGACCACTGAACCGGCATCTGACCTTGCTAATATCTAACTTCAACCAACCCGCAAAATTGAGCCACCATCCACTATTGTCTTCAGTGAGTTACCATCTTACAACAGACCCGGTTGAATTCCAATGGTCACGGACTCTCACTAGAACTCCAGGAAATACCTTTTGCAGATCATCACCAGTGAGCATATGACCATATGATCATAGGTTAGGCGTTCACGCGCGGTACCGATAGATCTTGGGTCCGAATCTCTTAAGGCGGGGTCATGGGTGCGCACTGCTGAGAAGTTCCATACTAGGACGAAACGGTCGTCCAATGCTTCCTAGTTTCCATAGTGGTTGAGCCTCAATTAACTCATGAATTCAACTTATTTATAATTTTTAACCTTACTTTCGTTATGTACCACAGATAATTGTCATTTGTAGTAAAATGGTTCAAAATCAGATTTCAATGGTATATATTACCTTCAATCTAAAATCCTCTATTTAAATCTTCAGTTGGTTTTCACATTCCATACTCTTCATAATCGTTCCTTTCTATTTCTTTTGATATCATTTCTATTCTACCTCACATTGTGCTGATATGTTGATTATAATTATATCGATGAGAGTTTGTGTCAAGTGTTACATTATTTATCGATGACTTATATAAACAAATTAAATTATTAAATTTATAATGGTTTGTCCTAAATTGATAGATTTATACATTTTAAATAACAATTGAATCACTTATTAACTTGTTAAGATCTTTATCTACGAAATGTGAATAAAAAACCAATAGACATTCCGTTATGATGTAATGATAATATCACCCCTATTAACTTTAATATCATCAGAGAGTTTTATTACTAAGGTAGGTTTTATATGAGTACAAACTATTTCTCAATCAAAAACAAACATGGTTTCAAATTTTGTATGACAGATCTGTTATTAAGGCTATGTACTAGTACTAATCACCTTTTAACGCCAACAATTTGGTATTATTAAATAAATGACAAACAATAAAACTATTATCATGTAATTTTTACCATTATTATGAAAACATTTTTTTCGAAAATGTTTTCACCCTTTCTCTTTCTCGTGGTGATTGACTGCATCATGAATATGTCAACATCTGAGGGGAAGCATGGGATAAACTGGACAGCTAGGATGAAATTGGACGATCTAGACTTCGCAGATGATCTGGCTCTTCTATCGCACACATAACAACAAATGCAGGAGAAGACGACTAGTGTAGTAGCAGCCTCAACAGCAGTAGATCTCAATATACACAAAGGGAAAAGCAAGATTCTCCGATACAACACAGCATGCACCGATCCAATCACAATTGACGGGGAAGCTTTGGAAGATGTAAAAACATTTACATATCTGAGCAGCATCATTGATGAACACGGCGGATCTGATGCAGATGAGAACGCGCGGATCGGAAAAGCAACAGCAGCATATCTACAACTGAAGAACATCTGAAAATCAAAACAACTGTCTGTAAGCCAACACCAAGGTCAGAATTTTCAATACAAATGTCAACACAGTTCTAGTGTATGGGGTGTAAACTTGGAACACTACGAAAGCCATCGTTCATAAGATACAGGTGTTTATTAACAGCTGTCTACGCAAAATACTTCGGATCCGTTGGCCAGACATTATCAGCAACAACCTACTATGGGAGAGAACAAACCAGATCCCAGCGGAGGAAGAAATTAGGACAAAGCGCTGGAAGTGGATAGGATACACATTGAGGAAAGCACTCAACTGTGTCACAAGACAAGCCCTCACACAGAATCCTCTAGGCAAAGGAAAAGGGGAAGACCAAAGAACACATTACGCCGGGAAATGGAGATAGATATGAGAAAAATGAACAAGAATTGGATGGAACTAGAAAAAAAGGCCCATGTCAGAGTGGGTTGGAGAATGCTGGTCGACAGCCTATGCTCCATTGGGAGTAACAGGAGTAAGTAAGTATTTTGAAAACATTTGAGATCAGTTCACCTACTCATGTAAAATACTCGGAATGTATTTGTATTTTCAGTTATTTAATAACATATTTGATCCCTTTTAACTGAACACAATTATCAATCCTCTATTTGTTCATTTGAAGATATTTCAGTAAAATGTTGGTATGTTGTTTGGGTTTGAACTGAAATGAAAATTTTCTGGTTATAATATTCTATACTGTTTAAATCTAAATGATCACAGAATTCAACAATTGTACATATAAAGTTATTTATCTTATATCTGAATAATTTTAGTTTGAGAATTTTATCACATCATTTTGAGTAAAACTGTAGTGATAAGCTAACCACTTGGTAAATAAAACATTTGAAAATTAACCCGATGCTCATTTAGATAAAAACTAATTTTTTGATTGAGATCATGAACCGCTTGATGTCGGACCACCGTTAGAAACCTGGAAGCACTAGATGATTGTTTCGTCCTATTGTGGAACTCAGCAGCACACATCCACGATCCCGCTCGCGGGATTCGAATCCAAGGCCTTCGGTCTCGCGTGCGAACGCTTGACCTACTGGACCACTGAAACAGAATCCAATGGTGTTAGTATCTAACACCAACCAATCCAGTAGGTTAAGCGTTCGCGCGCGAGACTGGAGGCACTGGACTCGAGTCCCGCGAGCGGGATCGTGGATGCGCACTTCTGAGTTCCACAATAGGACGAAACGGCCGTCCAGTGCTTCCAGGTTTCCAACGGTGGTTCGACATGAAGCGGTTCATGATCTCAATCAAAAACTTATTAATCTCCATGACACCTATACGGATAAAAAATAATTTATCGGTGAAAAATTTTATGAAGAGGTTTATAAGTACGAGAGTTAGTGAATTATTTGCTTATTCTTGTTCTGTTGACTAAACTCAACTTTGAAAACAATACGGTTATATAATTCTTTCGTTCAGTAGTACACTTATATGTTTGAAATGAGAATAGGGGATGATAGTTAATTACTCTATGGCTTATGAAGTTACCTCTCTAAACAATTTTATTATGACTAAAGAAGGAATAGGATTAAAAATCCAATGATAACTGGTCATTGAAAAATTACTCTTCATAATCATAAATAATGTATCTGTCATGGTTTAGAGTTATTCCGCTGTTGATGCCAAATATTGTAATTAGTCTCTTTTTGATACATGTGCATTCTTAATGGATTGCCTTAAAATTGCCAGTAAGTCACAAGCTCTTCAAGGCAGAATTAGTGTGGGATTTATATGAACTTGATGACTGCCTGATTTCGAATTCTGAATACAATACGTTCATTAGTGCTCTAATTTTTTATGGTCTAAATTGCGTTGTTTATGGGATCCCTAATTCGTGCAATAATCCAAATACTTCTAATTATCACAGGTAGATACTGGCTAACTGTGGAATTCAGGATGCAAGTTTCGTCCCATTAGAGACCTGGACTCGTATTAACGTTCACACTGGGACTTAAACCTAGCAGATTTCTCTTTAACCACTCAACACATCATCCACTTAACTACAGAGTCCAGATAGCTAATAGCTTGTGTCTCGGATATGAACTATAATTCATTTGTAAGGGTTTGAATCTTCCAAATTTACTTAAAATTACTTGTAACTTAATGATAATAGTGTGGCAGCCCACTCAGAGTGCACATACTTCAATAAGAAATTGAATAACTATGGTCCTTACAATCAACAACTAGACAATTCAGACAATTAACAATACATAATATCACAACGATTGTTTCAATACAGATTTTTTGATTACTAATACTTAAATATCTTCATGAAAACTTTCACAGTTACCCTGTCTACACAGCTGATCATATTGTTCTCATGTCTTTTCAATTTCCTTATCCAGTAACAATATATTGATTAGAAATTATAAAATTCACATTCCATATATAAAAACTGGTTGGATTTCAACAAAAATTACAATCGTGGATGCGCACTGCTGAGGAGTCCCATACCAAGACGAAACGACCGTCCAGTGCTTCCAAGTTTTCCACGGTGGTCTGGCTACGATTTACTCATGATTTCAACCAGTGTTATTTCTAAAAATCTCCACAAAACCCATTCCGATAAATAATAATCACCTGCTCACTAGAGACTGACTTCAGGAGACACTCCTGGAATTCTAGTGAGAAGTCGTTACCAGTGGAGTTCAACCAGGTCTGTTGTGAGATAGGAACTCACTGAAGACAATGGTGTACGGTGGCGCAACTTCGTGGATTGGTTGAAGTTAGACATTAACACCAGTGGATGCCGGCTCAGTGGTCTAATGGTCAAGCGCTCGAGCGCGAAACCAGTAGGTCCTGGGTTCGAATCCAGCGGGGTGTGGGATTGCGGATGCGCACTGCTGAGGAGTCCCATACTAAGACGAAACGGCCGTCCAGTGCTTCCAGGTTTTCCATGGTGGTGTGGCTTCAATTGACTCATGATTTCAACCAAATAATACAATCATAGAACTATAATCTTTCAATAACACAAATGACTATCTAACTTTCAAAATGAACATTTTTAAAGGATTCTTCTAAATGGATAAATTATGTTATGAGATGTTTTATTTACTTAACAACTTGAAAAATAAAAGTGAAAGACAAATATAAAGTATTTACTTAAAAAAACATGTAAATATAATAATGATTTCTAATTACATCTTATTTACTTACAAAGATATTGTAAATCATTTTGCAAAAGATCAATAGTGTACTAATTTCAATGACTTCTTAACCATTCATAATAATAATAATAATAATAATAATAATAATAATAATAATAATAATAATCTCAGTGATTGATACGATAAGAAAAAAAAAGATGTCATCTATGATCTTTTGCATCGATATATGCAGTTAAATATATGGAACATCCAATTGTTATTATTTCAAGGATTATGAACATAAATGAGAAAACTGTACCAATAGTTAGAAATTGGCTACCGAATTGATTTAATACATCAGTACAACCCTGTAAAATAAAGTAATATTATTGATTATATGATTGTAGAAAAGAATGTATAGTTACTTGGATAATATTTAATATTTCATCTTACCAAACTTAATTGAGTGTACAATCACAAAAGATTGTTAACAACTTTAAGAATACTGTCATTATTACAGTTGATAAAGGAAGCATTACAGTGATCATTAAAAATGACAATATTTATTAAATTCATCTGATCATTCATTTAACTTTAATGTATTAGGAAAATTCAAATCGAAAACAATGAACTGATGGTACCTTTCGACATAAAACTTCATTCATCTCATTCAGCAACAAGATCTCTGCACTTAATTTGTAATTTTAGTAAAATCAATTTTTTGGTGAGGAATGTGATTTTCGTAATACATGCACTCCATGCATTCGTTCTACTAGAGAACATTTGTAAATTATATTAGGACGTAATGCTTACTGTGACAATAGGGTAAAAAAAAACATAGGCCTCATCATCTATTATTATTTATTTTAACACAGATATTGGTACAAGAGGGCACCAAATACATATGCGCCACACAAATCTCATTTGATAGTTGTGAGGGCTGTGACACTGTCCGGGTGCCCAAACCCCGAGCCTTCGACCTGAAGGTCTGATCCACAAGACAGTGGAGCATCGTAAGGAGATGCAGTCCCATGGTAGCCGGTGACCAACAATTGCTTCATACGCCATTTGTTCCTTCAGGATACTAAAGCCCATGTGCACCATTGGTTTGAAATCCGGCTACAGCGCCGGACATTCGCTTTTCGTCCTCTCATTTTCGTAAACAACAGTAGTGCCACGAGAAGGCAGTGAGTAGGACTTCCCTGGCAGAGGCTATATACGCGTGGCCATGTGAGAGCATTTCGAGAGGGAGAGCGGACTCTCCCCACTCTTGACCGTACCAGGGCATTTAGGGGCCTCATAGGTAAAGATTTTTGTGCTTGAGACTTAGAAAGCTAGTGGTGACTAAACCACCTTAAAAAAACATAAAGTCTTTTCAGTAAACTGAATCTTATAGACTACACACAATCACAGTGAAGGAAATACGGCTGACTCCACCCGTGGAGAACTGTGATCTCGATTTCCAAAATTTCGTAAAAGTAAAGAAAAAACTTATAGTTTGTAGGGGCTGGAGTAATACTGATCAGAAATAACATACTTTTCAATATTGAGAAATAGTCTCATGAAAGCTACCCGAAATATAAGGGCTATTGGCGGATCTAGTTTATTGCAGTCGTAATTGTAAAGTATGTGATATATTTCTAGATAGATTTTAACCTTAGATTTCAGTTTGTACATCACAGACCCCAAACATCTGAAAACGAATCTTTTGGAAGGCTTGTTTGAATGAGCTCTAGACAATATAGTTATAAAATCTGCTCTTGTGGAACTCATGAAGGATTCGACAAGGTACAACTCCTGGTTTACATTATTTTTGGTTGAGTTGATATTTCAGCATGAACCACCCCTCCCATAACTAACTTCAGTAAAAACTTTGCGTTTTTGTGTGTGATACTGTAAACGGATCGGTCTATTACAGCACATATATGTGTGAATACGATGTATGGCATTTAAAAAGTTTGTGAGTTGTACAATAAAAGTTTGGTCAAGCATTAGGTCACTTCTGCCTAAAAACTAAACGTTCACTAAGTTTAGAAAACGCGAAGAGCATCAAAGTATTTTAAGTCGTGGATATTTACTAAATTATACTTAAGAGCCGACAGCTAACAATTAGCTTTAGGAATATCTAGAAGGGAGCATAAAACACTTTCTACAAGTAATTCTACGGGATATTTAACATTATGTGCTTCATAAACTGAAGGATAAATAAGGGGCATATCATCCTAGCCCTGTATGAAAATGGCAAGACATCACTAGTAGAAAATTACTTAAGAAAGTCAATATATGTTTAAACAACGTATTAAAGTTATTTGCAATAAGCCCTCTTTTTGGTAACAGATATCATTTCTCTTTCACGTGAAATTCAAGTAGGTTGATCATAAAACACTCAAACATTCTTAGCTTGTTAAATAAGCCTAACGTAATAAGCTTGATGATACTCAATAAAATAGTCCTGATGCTACTCAAGAACCAAACGCTCCCCATCGCTAAGTCTTTAATATTTTGTTGTAACCTATTTTTATATTAACCATAACCAAACAATGACTAAAAAAATGTTAGAATTAACCCTTTCGTTAGGTAATGTACTCAGTGGAATCGTGAAAATGACCACCGTAGAAGTTTAACTAGCGCAGACACCAAGGCTTTCAAGGAGACTGTAAAAACATTCAGGTACTTGGCAAACAACTCAAGAATGCTTAAAGTTTAACATAAAAATAGAACACATTCAGTACCCACTAATTTTTAAATGTTTAAGGATAGATGGTATTAGTTAGTGGACTATAAGCACTCGAAAGATTAAAAGTACCAATTTCTGCAAAATGCATCATTACGTTCTTTATAAATTGGTCTTGAGTGCCGTTTTTCATGACAGATTGTTATTTATTACAAATAATAATCAAAATAGCTTTTTATCTTAAAGAAACCTCATAGAGGGTGAAAAAACAGTATTGTTCAATCGCAATCTGTCTAGATTAGAGTGTGATGCGGAGTTTGCTAATTTACATGTTTTACTTACTTACTTACTTACGCCTGTTACTCCCAATAGAGCATAGGCAGCCGACCAGTACTCTCTAACCCACTCTGTCATGGGCCTTCCTTTCCAGTTCTATCTGATTGTTCATTATTCTTATGCCTGTCTCCATTTCTTAAAGTAATGTGTGCTTCGGTCTTATTCTCCTCCTTTGGCCTTGAGGATTTCATGTGAGGGCTCGTCTTGTGACGCAGTTGGGTGCTTTCCTCAATGTGTGTCCTATCCGCTTCCAGCGCTTCTTCCTGATTTCTTCGTTAGCTTGAATTTGGTTTGTTCACTCTCATAGTAGGTTGTTGCTGATAATGTCTGGCCAACGGATCCGAAGTATTTTGCGTAGACAGCTGTTAATAAACACCTGTATCTTATGAACGATGGCTTTCGTAGTGTTCCAAGTTTACATCCCATACACTAGAACTGTGTTGACATTTGTATTGAAAATTCTGACCTTGGTGTTGGCTTACAGACAGTTGTTTTGATTTTCAGATGTTCTTCAGTTGTAGATATGCTGCTGTTGCTTTTCCGATCCGCGCGTTCTCATCTGCATCAGATCCGCCGTGTTCATCAATGATGCTGTTCAGATATGTAAATGTTTTTACATCTTCCAAAGCTTCCCCGTCAATTGTGATTGGATCGGTGCATGCTGTGTTGTATCGGAGAATCTTGCTTTTCCCTTTGTGTATATTGAGATCTACTGCTGTTGAGGCTGCTACTACACTAGTCGTCTTCTCCTGCATTTGTTGTTATGTGTGCGATAGAAGAGCCAGATCATCTGCGAAATCTAGGTCGTCCAATTTCATCCTAGCTGTCCAGTTTATCCCATGCTTCCCCTCAGATGTTGACGTCTTCATGATCCAGTCAATCGCCAGGAGAAAGAGGAAAAGTGGGAGTAAGCAACCTTGCCTGACACCGGTCTTTACTTCGAACGAGTCTGTCAATTGTCCTTCATGCTCGATTTTGCAGTTTAACGCATCATCGGAAGTCTGTGTGATATTTGCTATCTTCTCAGTTACGCCGTAGTGTCAAAGAAGCTTCCATTGTGTTGGCCAGTCCACGCTATCAAATGTATTGTCGTAATTAATGAAGTTGATGTAGAGTGATGAATTCCATTCAACTGATTGTTCTATAATGATCCGTAGTGTTGCGATCTGAAGATTTACATTTCTAGGGTCTAGTATTTTTTAGTGTATATAGAGATAACCTAACTGGTTGTTTTTTGTTATCAGTCCTGACATTTTCTGATCATAATAAAGCATAAAAAGTGACTCAAAACGGGAACCAATTATTAAGGTTTCTAAAAGATCTACATACAGATTGATATGACAGTTTGAGTGCCACTTTGTGACATTAATTGTATCCAGACAACAATACACACTGAATGATGTTGGCGATTAACACGTGACAAGTCATTGTCCACTGAACGCATTAACTAGAATGTCCATAAGTCATCTACTTCAACAAAATGTATTTTACGGACTAGTTACCAGCCATTGTGTACTTACTTAAAATTCAGTGGTTAGTTCCTTCAGTGATAATGTATTTGCTTACTTGAAACCTGTTTGTAGTACAAAGGCCAATTGTTAACTAACATACTTTTATTTCGAAGCTCGTTGAAATCATAAAGCAGATTCACTTTATAAATCAAGGGCTGTAACCAAAATTTCACAGCTTTACTGCAGTCAAAGTAATTGTGAATAGGCAATACAAATTAGCATAGGGACAGTCAGACAGGGTCTCAAGTTTAGTATTTATGTTTGTGAGTCGCTTAACGCCTTAATAACATACTAGAGAAAGACTATTGGTTAACCAGTAGTACCACCAAGCTAACTATTTTATAAGTGATTTATACAATAACCAAATCTACTACGGAAAGGTGCATGCACTTATATACTCGTGAAAACAAACACGTAAACAATAATAATGTAAAAACATGTTATTTTGACAATACATTTTTGTAAATGGAACCATCTTCATGACAGGACGAGGGAATTTTATCTCCATATTCTAAGTAATTAAGTGAACCACAACATTTAAGCTGTAATCAAATAAGCTTGAAATGATAATTACATCTCTATGAATTTTATCCATAATGGTGCTTATCGTTTTATTGAAATGATAATTTTCAACTGCTTTCTTCATGCTCAAATGTAGATTATCCCACAACTATAAAATCTCATCACCAACGAAAAAACTTGCCTTTACATGATAACAAAGGCATGTTATTCCAGTTCCAAGCTGAACAATAATTATGGTGACCAAACCAACAGAAAACTGAAAATTAATCAAAATTAAATAGTTCAACTATAAAGTGTGAAGATATACCAAGCAAAGTACATCATTACTATTTAAGCAAGATCCAAAGAGACCTAGGAATCCAGAAAAAATCATAATACATCCGACTATGACAAGGCATTTTATTACTCCTTTGACAGTCGTCTCAAGTTTGCCATTGTATTTACGAACTGAACTATAAAATATACTACCAATAGTAATCAAGGCAACTGCACATCCCTAAATTATAAAATCAATCAAAGATTAGATCTTACTATGATTATCAAACTAGAAATTATCACGGTCACTTGAAGATGACGGTGGCTTATTCTTTTTTTGCAGAAACTCATTCAGTCATTAAAACGACAACTAATTTACAACTATCAAAATGGTGTAGTGAAACAGTATCAGGGTAATATAAATCTTAGTAATAGTTCATTCAAACACTTTAGACGCAGATTAATTAACAACTATATCTTACAATCAACTACTTACATCATTATATCTTAAAATTTCAAACCGACTTATTGATTTTGAGGCTGACTATTTCAAGGTTTGATGGAGGTCAACCCAGGACTTTCTACCACCTTCTGTCCAGTTAGTGAGTGAGTTCTGCATACTGAAGAGCAATATCCGGTAAATAAGTTTGCTGAAGATTCCATTTCAAGCGTCTGGAATGACTCTCAACTGCTTCATATGAGTACATTCAATGAAACATAGTTCATAAAGTATAAAGAACACAATCACTTTAAAACTAAGAGCTCTAAATGACATCTCCAACTAAAGTTTTACTCTAACAAGTATCGTTTGTTTACCAGATGAACACAGAAATTACCGAGAGTTCTGTGTACAACAGTTTTCAAAGTGCTTCACGTGGATATCAATGCTTAGGGGAGTATGTCAAGGTCCTAGGTCCTTAACTTTATACTGTATGAAAATGATCCCCCAAGTATAGTAGAGTCCCAAATGTCATTATACGCTGACGAAGTAAAAAATTTGGAGAGAAATAACAGAAGATGCAGATATATACGCATGTCAAGCAGACCTAAATATTGTGATTAGCTGGTCTGCCTGGCTGATGCCTATCAACACGGTAAAGTGTGTCTACATGCGCTTCGGAGATACAAAGGTAGTTAGGCACAGCATGGGGGAAGTGACTGTACCAGTGGTCTGCTCTCACAAGAATCTATGGGTGACAGTGAGTCATGACTTTAAGATCACGGCTCATTCCTGGGAGGTAGCAGCTAAGGGGTTTGGAACCCTCTGAGCTTCAAGACAGATATTCACCAAGTTGGATACTACCATGTTTACCACAGTATATACAACTTTAGTGAGAACTAAGCATGAGAACTGCATCCAGGCTGCAAGCTCCCGTTTTAAATGTGACTCGAATATCCTGTAAAAAGTATAGAGGGCGGTTAGCCACACAATTCCAGAACTCCGGAGTTTACCATACAAAGAGCGGCTCGAAAAGCTAGAGCTCTTTACTCTGCCCTATCACAGAGTAAGAGGTGATCTGAACACTAAGGAATGATTTCAACCTAATATATTCTCTCTTTTTCTTCCTACCTGGTCGTGACATCTCAGAGAGGTTTTTACACCAAGTCATCAATTCTTTGAACCTGAACCTTCAATTGACTCATTCATATGAAGGCTAGACACTCACAGAAGCATACTAGAGAGGAATAACATAAGCCGTAAGCCTTCTGTCCTTACTACACAAATCTGAATTTGAAATTCTAATCTTATTTAATTCTGAATACATTGTTATTTCGGGCAATTATTTTAGCCTTCAGAGGCTTATACACAGCATAGAACCTACCAACTTTCCCAGAGACAAGATATATAGCAGTAAGCAATACCCTTATATAAATAATCTTGACGGCGTTTGATTTATACTCTAGTCTTCCTTGCTGCAAACGACACTTCCTGTTAACGGCCCTTAGCCAGTCATAGCAGCCATATTTTAGTACAGCCGTGGGTACATGTCCCTCATTCTGTGCTAGCCTATTATTATCAGTCACAAGGCACTAATTAATTCGTATAAACTATAGTTATTGGCGTTAACACCAAAGTATTCAACTTGCCATAAAAAAATATCGTAAACACCATCAGTTTTAGTTTATTTTCGTTATAACTATTTAATCCAGCCACCTAGTTTTTGTAATAATTTGTAAAATTTATACAGTAATACAATCATTACGCAAAAAACTTGTGTTTTGTCATTACATATGCCACAGATGTAAGTTGACAACGTCTTTGTCCGCAACATCTTTATAATCGAAAGGCACCAACCTGGTCAAATCAGAGGTCGGGGAAGAACAAGTTCAAAGATGTACTGGAAAGCTATTGATCTAAGCTGGGTAGTGATTGCAAGGAATGCGTAGAACAGCCTACCCACTCGTGATCTGGTGCAAATGAATAATCGAGCGCTTTCAGATATAATCAGTAAAATTAATATTACTTACTTACTTACACCTGTTACTCCTCGTGAAGGAGCATAGGTCGCTCACCAGCATTCTCCATCCAACCCTGTCCTGGGCAATCCTTTCCAGCTCCTTCCAGTTGTAATTCATCCTTTTCATATCTGCTTCTATTATCCGACGTAATGTGTTCTTTGGCCTTCCTCTTTTCCGCTTCCCTTCAGGATTCCAAGTTAGAGCTTGCCTAGTGATGCAGTTTGACGATTTGCGTAATGTATGTCCTATCCATTTCCATCGTCTTTTCCTAATTTCCTCTTCAGCTGGAAGTTGGTTTGTTCTCTCCCACAGAAGGCTATTGCTGATGGTATCCGGCCAATGGATGTTGAGTATCTTGCGTAGACAGCTATTTATAAATACTTGTACTTTCTTGATTGTGGTTGTTGTAGTTCTCCAAGTTTCAGCTCCATACAGTAGAATTGCCTTGACGTTCGTATTGAAGATGCTGACTTTGATATTGGTTGAAAGTTGTTTTGAGTTCCATATGTTCTTCAATTGTAGGAATGCGGCCCTTGCTTTGCCAATCCTCGCCTTTACGTCTGCATCTGAACCTCCATGTCTATCGACGATGCTTCCCAGATATGTGAAGGATTCTACATCTTCCAGAGTTTCGCCATCAAGGGTAATTGGATTGCTGTTCTCCGCTTTGAATTTGAGGAACTTGGTTTTCCCTTTGTGTATGCTGAGGCCTACTGATGCAGAGACTGCTGCTACACTGGCTGTCTCCATCTGCATTTGTTCATGTGTATGCGATAGGAGGGCTAGGTCATCTGCGAAGTCCAGATCGTCTAATTGGTTCTGAGCTGTCCATTGTATTCCGTGTTTTCCTTCAGATGTCGAGGTCTTCATAATCCAGTCGACCACCAGAAGAAAGAGAAGGGGAGAGAGTAATCAGCCTTGTCTGACCCCGGTCCTTACTTGGAATGCATCTGTCAGCTGTCCTCCATGCACTACTTTGCACTGTAGTCCGTCGTATGAGTTCCGGATAATATTGACAATCTTCTCAGGAACTCCGTAGTGTCGAAGAAGTTTCCATAATGTCCTCCTATCTACACTGTCAAATGCCTTTTCATAATCAATGAAGTTGATGTATAGTGACGAGTTCCACTCAACTGATTGTTCGACGATGATCCGTAGTGTTGCAATTTGGTCTGTGCACGACCGATCCTTTCGGAATCCAGCTTGTTGATCTCGAAGTTGGGCATCTACTGCATCCTTCATCCGGTTCAGCAACACTCTGTTGAAGACTTTCCCTGGTATTGACAGTAGTGTAATGCCTCTGTAGTTTTCACATTTGCTCAGATCTCCTTTCTTTGGAATCTTGATGAGGTGTCCTTCTTTCCAGTCCATTGGCACTTGTTCCTCCTCCCAAATCTTTTTGAATAGAGGGTAAAGCATGCTTGTGGTTACTTCGACGTCTGATTTCAGTGCTTCAGCTGGTATGTTGTCGGGTCCTGCTGCTTTCCCGTTCTTGATTTGTCTGACGGCCATTCTAATTTCTTCCGTAGTTGGTGGATTGACATCTATAGGAAGATCTATGTGTGCTGCTTCGATGTCCGGTGGATTCATTGGAGCCGGCCTATTCAGGAGTTCCTCGAAGTATTCTACCCATCTGTTACGTTGTTGTTGAATTTCGGTTGGCTTGCCTTCTTTGTCTTTGACCGGCCTCTCTGGTTTACTGTATTTCCCTGATAGTTTCTTCGTTGTATCGTAGAGCTGTTTCATATTTCCTTCTCTAGCAGCTTTTTCTGCCGTCGTTGCTAATTCTTCCACGTATTTCTTCCTGTCGGCTCTAATGCTCCTCTTCACTTGCTTGTTTGCTTCTATGTATTCAGCTTGTGCTTGGACTTTCTCTGCTCGTGTTCGGCTGTTGTTAATTGCTGTCTTCTTGTTCTTCCTTTCTTTGATCTTGTCCAGTGTTTCTATAGAGATCCATTCCTTATGATGGTATTTCTTTAGGCCCAGAACCTCTTGACACGTTGAAGTCAATGTTTCTTTGATGCCTTTCCAGTTGTCCTCCATGGTAGTTTCTTCTTCCTTCAGTAGATCTTGAAAGGCTTGGAATCTGTTGTTGAGAGCTATCTTGAATTCATTGAGTTTGTCAGTATCTCGAAGGAAGGCTGTATTGAACCTTTGTAGTGCTGTTTGTCCACTTGTCCAGTTCTTTTTTAGCTTCAGTTTTAAATTGGCTACAACTGGGTGGTGATCTGAAGCTACGTCAGCTCCTCTCCTGGTTCTCACATCTTCCATTGTCCTTCGGAATTTTTTGTTGATGCAAATATGGTCTATCTGGTTCTCTGTAGTGTGGTTCGGTGAGATCCATGTAGCCTTGTGTATACGTTTGTGTGGAAATATTGTGCCTCCTATGACTAATTTGTTGAATGCACACAAATTTGCAAATCTTTCTCCATTTTCGTTCCTCTCTCCCAGTCCATGTCGTCCCATAATATCTTCATATCCAGTGTTGTCTATTCCGACCTTGGCATTTAGATCTCCCATTAGAATGGTGAGGTCCTTTGTTGAGCATTTCTCTATGTCGAGGGCTCAAATGCTTATTTGTCTTAGCCATTTATTAGTCGCCACATCTCACTCCCCTGCCAGAGTACTAGTGATGATTCTAAAACCTGACCAATCAGAAGTTTAAAGCAAATGAACTTCCCGTGCATAAACACTCATCTGATAGCTTGTAATGTCCATCATCGTCTGCGAATCTTTCATTTACTCAAAGAAGTGTAGAATTATGGTCAAGGTGGGTATCAGAACACTTCGTTATGCTACTAGAATGGAGGGCTTATCCCTCGACTGTAT